TTAATCATTAAAAATCCAAATTAAATTAAATAAATGATATAAAAATATTTTTGGATGTTTTTCCCATTTAATAAATGGCAATATATGCTGATTATGGCCAAGAGATCGTGCAAGGCATGGAAAAGGAAGAGAATATTCAAAAACGGAAAGTTTGGAAGCAATTGTAAAAGGTCATTATTCTTTTGGATTCTCTCCATATATGTTAACCTAGATCTTGCCTCATACATAAGGAAGAGTTTCCAACCCTAAAGAAGGGAATACACACGTACAACTGCCTCCAGAAACCCTAAAGTCTTTGCTCTAAAAATCAAAGAAAAAGTGAAATTTGTATCAGTTCTTTCAGCTCTTTTCCAGACAAAGCAAGCACTCAATCTTCCTCCTGAAGACTCCAAGAAGCATTCCTCACAGTTAAGCAAGCCCAGCACATGTAGAAATCCCCTCACACGATTCCTTTGATTGGTAAATTTTCTCTACTCTCAAACTCGCATAACACTTAACTTAAATCCATATCAATTTCATACATGTGTTTCTATTGATGATTGTGGGTGTTTAAATGTATAACATGTAAAGCTAAAGCCCACAATCGTCCTCTTCCATTAACGGTCGTGTTTTCACCTTTTTTCCATATCGATGCTTGCAGGCTGTTTTAGGGCATGAGAATGTCACCATTGGATCCGCAACCCTCTAATAGTGGACACTGGTTCATCTCTGAATGTTCTACCCAAAGGTGCATTAGACAGATTGAATTGCAAAGGACTTACATTGAAACCCAGTAATATTGTGGTGAGGGATTTTGATGGTTCCAAGAGAATGGTACACGGGGAGGTGGACATTCCAATTAAAGTGGGTTCCCAAACTTTTGACTCCACTTTCTACGTGATGGACATTCGCCCGTCCTACTCCTGCTTATTAGGACACCCTTGGATTCATGGGGCTGGCGCCGTCACTTCCACTTTGCATCAGATGTTAAAATATCTGGTTAATGGAGAGATTGTTATAGCTGTGACGAAGAAGAGTATATGGTAAGCCACTTGAACTCTTTCAGATATGTCGAGATGGACGGCGAGTTCATTGAGACCCCCTGTCAGAATTTTGAAGATATTCCTAAGACGATCGGTGTTACCAAAGTTGTTGTTGTTGTTCCAAAGATTACCAGACCTCCACAGAAAATGACTTCTCCAAAAGATGCTAAGGTTGTAGTTGAAGAAGGTGGGTGTACTATTTGGGGCCAACTTCCTGACATCCCCTACAAGTCTGACAAATTTGGTTTGGTTTTCACTTTAGGAGCTCAAAAAGTTGTTCGTCGTGCTCGCACCAGAGGACCACCACTACGCATCAGCAACCATGGAATCAATGATATGGAAGACGCTGGAAATGACTATGACCTGGACAATTGGATCTTCCCTACTATCAATGGTGGACTCAATAATTGCACGGCTAGAGACTTTGTGCCTATCTCTTTTATCCAAGAGTAATTGTTTTTCTGTTTTTAAGGATATGTAATTTTTGAACAATTTAAACTCTAAAGCCTTGTGTCTTACCCGAGGCATAACGGTCTACTTGTGAGGGTTATCACATGTCACTTTCATATGTCTTTAATAAATCATTGGATGTTTTGCATTCAAATTTTACGCTCTATGTCTTTCTTTTACTTTGTTTTGTCAAAATAGCTATGTGCTCTTACACACACCCACATATCAAATTGCAGATCCACATCCACCCTGGATGCCATTGATAACAGTTATGTTATTGCGAGTTATGACTTTGAAAATCTGATCTAGCAAGTCGAGGACGAAGGTGGGGAAGATTGTGAAGTACCAGGAGAACTTGCTAGACTATTACAGCAAGAGGAAAGAGGAAAACAGCCTCAGGAAGAGCCGATCGAGACAGTAAACTTAGGTGCTGAGGAGAATAAAAAGGAAGTCAAGATAGGTGCCAACTTGGAAAATGGTGTTAAAGAACAGTTAATTCATATGTTACATGACTACATTGAGATCTTTGCCTGGTCATACAAAGACATACCGGGGCTTAACACCGATATTATGGTTCATCGTCTGCAAACAAAAAGAAGACTGCCCTCCAGTGAAACAGAAGGTTCGGCGTATGCACCCTGAGATGTTAGAAAAGATCAAGGCTGAAGTCATGAAACAGTTCAATGCTGAATTATTAGCTATTACTTCTTATCCATAATGGATTTCAAACATGGTACCGGTACCTAAGAAGGACGGTAAGGTGCGTATGTGTGTGGATTACAGAGATTTGAATAGGGCAAGCCCCAAGAATGTCTTTCTGCTTCCCCATATTGATGTTCTGGTTGACAACACCGCACAACACAAGATTTTATCTTTTATGGACGGTTTCTCCGGTTATAATCAAATCAAAATGGCACCCGAAGACATGGAGAAAACAACTTTCGTCACACAGTGGGGCACTTTCTGCTACAAGGTTATGCCATTTGGGTTAAAGAATGCTAGGACAACCTATCAATGTGTTATGGTAACTTTGTTTCATGATATAATCCATCATGAGATAGAGGTCTATGTTAATGATATGATAGTCAGGTCTTAGAATGAAGAAGAGTACCTTAATCACCTGTAAAAATTGTTTAAAAGGCTGAAGAAATACAAGTTAAGATTGAACTCAAGCAAGTGCACCTTTGGAGTAAGATCTGGTAAGCTCTTAAGTTTCATTATCAGTGGCAAAGGTATTGAGGTAGATCCTGTAAAGGTTAAATCTATTCAAGAAATTCCAGCCCCCCGCGCTGAGAAGGAGGTTAGAGGTTTCTTGGGACGTCTAAACTACATTGTCAGATTCATTTCTCACCTAACTGCTACTTGTGAACCAATCTTCAAATTATTGAAGAAAGATCAAGTAGTGAAGTGGAATGACGATTTCCAGACAACCTTTGACAGAATCAAGAAATATCTTCAAGAACCTCCAACTTTGATGCCGCCAGTTGAGATAAGACCTCTGATCATGTACTTAACAGTATTAGAGAATTCAATGGGGTGTGTGATGGGGCAGCATGACGAGTCTGGTCGAAAAGAGCATGCAATATACTATCTTAGAAAAAAGTTTACCGACTGTGAAACAAGATACTCACTGCTCGACAAAACTTTATATCCAAAGAGACTGAACACCTAACCAATATATAGAAGATCGAAGTATGAGATAGAAGGAAATATGAACAATTATGGAGTGTTTGCATTGTCCAATGCGAACTCCTGAAAAGTGTGGGGGATTGGTTGCAAAACCCTTTTCCACTTGACGAATCGATAACAAGAGTAGGCACAACTCCAAAGCGTCGTGGTGTGTCACGAGCTAAGGATGACACGAACGAAATTCACGGGGGTTTATTTCTAACCCTTTTTGCTCACCTCCTTTTGAGGACTTATCATCTGTAATATAATATATGTGGGCACAAATGTAAACACACCTGCAAAATACCTACTTCAAAGGTAGGGTTTTAAACAAACACAAGTAGTGAACAAGTCATGTATACGGAATTGCCTTAAACAGGTCTTTAAATAAGCCAAAGTGATTCTTAACATATATTAGCAACGGAGATCCCTTTCATATATATATACCCTACTTCTGATGGCATCAGAAAGTAGTAAAGAAATGCGATAAAGTGCGAAAAAATATAAAAGCAGTAGCGACGACTATAAAAAGCAAGTGGATCATCGAAAGCGGACGAAAGCAATGGAGAAGCAAGGAGTACGCGTAGAGCAAGCTTCACCAAGAAACAAACAAATTTAGAAACGATATCCATCTAAGATAAAAACAAACGCATGTTGTGAATGCAATGCGTAATCATAAGTTCCTTCACAAAGTGTCACAAAATATCATATGCATCCGGATAATATATAATATGATACGAATTTCTCAGGATGATGAGAAATAAGGTGTGTCGCATCAGAAGCGAGGATAAGCCATATGCTTCAATCACATAAGAACTTGTTATGTTACATGATCGAAAGCACCAAAGTGTACCTTGTATAATGAACAAACGCGTCAAAAATAACGAGGCACAACGATATGAAAATATGAATAAAAAAATCTAAAAGAAAAAGTATTTTTATTAGTTTTTTATGTGAGAAAAAATCTATCAAAAAAACTAAAGAGATTCTAAAAAACTCTATTATATTCTACCATTTTTTATTGATTTTATAATTTTCATGCTAAGAAATATAGGCAAAGAAAAATTGGTAAAAGAATTAAAACAACAAAAATAAAACAAAACCAATGAATCAGAGGGAGGTGTAAACTGGAATCCAGGGGGTGGAAATTTGAATGTAATGGTGGATCAGCAATTAATGCCAAGGCCCAAGCATGAAGGTCCAGAAGGCTGTTTTTGTACACTAGACTTCAAACTCCAAAAGAAACAATATCAGCCTAAATGGGGTGTTGAGTTGAGATAGAGTGTTGGTTCAGAAAATTGCAGCTATACCCAACCAGTTTTTGGTCTACAAGCAGTTTTTTCTTATCCACCAAAAAAACTAAAACAGGCCAAGAGTGTATAATCCATTCCAACTCCTATATCACCAATAACATTCAATTAGTACCACGCTTTACTCATATTTGTTCATTTAATAAAAACAAATAATAATGAATAAAATAAAGAAAAAAATAAAGAGAAAGATTGAAAACGCAGCATTTTGTTGTGGAGGAATAGGGTTCCAGTTTATGTCTCTTGAACTTCTTCGTGAGAATATGATCGCCTTCCTCTCTCTGCGAAAGAATGGTGCCGTATACCTATTCTCTTCGCCGTCCTCTCTTCTAATCTTTGATGTTGTCCTCCTCTTTTAATCGTCACCTCCGTCTTTCTCTATTCGAAAGAAACCACTGCGGCACATGAATCTGACCTCATATTCTTCTGAAGACTTCACAATCTCTCCCCAAATCGAAGAAACCTAGAAGTCTTGAAGCTTAAATCGGATGGTGTTGACACCTCTGCTCGAGTTACGACCATAGGAGAAGAAGTCCAGGTGACGACGGTCATGCTAAGGCGCCGAGAAGGCGATAAATCGGTGATAGACGGTTTTACCTTGAATCGGCGATGGCGGAGCATTCGGTGTCATGTATTCCGTTTATCTCTTCTTCTTTCTACTTGTCTACATCTTCTTCTCCGTCTTCACTTCTCTAAATGGGTGTGTTCTCTATGATGCATTGATTTTGAAATCGTTGTTCTGAGAAATTGTTCTTGTTCGTTGAAGATTCGTAATGTTGAAGATGATGTTGTTGTTGATGGATGCGGAGGAGCTGCAATTTTTGATGAAGGCAAGGCCGTGATGATGATTAAAGATGCGCAAAGAGGTGAAGATCAATGGTGATTCTTGAAGTTCAGTGGTATAAGTGTTGTAGAGAATTGATGCAGGTTGGAGAACGGTGGTGAGGTTGTTAATTGAAGATTCAAAGAAAGATGAATTGAAGGTGATTTTGCAGAGGGAGCTGAGAGATCATTTTCAGAGAGAGTGAAGAATCACTGTAATTGCCAGGTAATTTTCTGTTATGTAGTTTCTGTTATATGGCTTGAGAGTTTGTTACAGCAGAGTGAATCATGTCCATTGAATTGAAAAGTTGGCTACAAGGATTAAGGGCCAGCTATGATTCAGTTAGAGGAGTTTAAAAACTGTTTAGTTTCTGTTATGACAGTTAGTATAAGTTGGCAATCGGTTAGTTTAGAAGTTAGTTAGATGGTTTAAGGTAGTTGATATGGTTATCTCTGTTAGAAAATTCCGTTATAGGTAGTTTGAGCTTTGTCTTTGATTTTTTTTTGTTGAATGGGCCGATTTGGTTCAGGTCGTAAGTGAATCAATTGAGAAGTTAATTTTTGTTACTAACCAGTTGACACTTAAAATGAAGGTGTGGGTTTTGACTTTCTGCTTTGAGAGTTAAAAGTTTAATTGAAGGCTGGGATTTTTGAGTTCAGTTAGTGAGAACTTGAACGAGTCTGGTTTTCTTACTAAGTTGGGCTGGAATTTTGCTATGAGTTTCACTTCTGTTTATTTTCTTGATTTTATCCTTCTGGTTTTCACTGATGTAGGGCAATTATTCACCGATTTTGAACTGGATTATGACTGTTTTCATGCACGTTTTCGATTCAAGTTTGGGTATTGGTGTTTGGTGCTTTTTCTGAATTGTTTTCTTTGAATAGATGCATGGTTTCCATGGTTAATTTTTGGATGAAAACTATTTGGCTTTATTGTGCAGGTGAATAAGCTGATGCAGGGCCTGTTTTATGGTTCATGTTGCAATGCTTGGAGGAAATATGAAGGCACATGGTTATGATGAATCAATGAAGATCAAAGTAAAGTGGGATTCTTGAAGATTGACTAAAAGATAGGCCATGTTATTTGAATTAGAAACAGTAAGCTCCCATGTTATTTGTATAATTTCCTTTGTATGTGTAATATGCTTGAAATGTATTGTAATAAACAAAGTTTTGAATTGAAACAGTTCTTTTTCCCATCTTGAATTTCCTTTAATGCTTCATGCACACAAAAGAATCAACCTATGCATCCAATGATGTGGCAATGGTTCTAAGTCAACCAATTTGATCTCATTTGAAGAGTTTTGACCTCTTCAAGTAATTTTGACTTGTACTCTTGATACATGACTTTTATTTCACTTCTTGAATTCCAATATGAATGAACTTGTGGGGAACATTTCCCATACACATCCTTGAATGCATTAATCTCTCTTTATAGGATGATAAATCATGAAAAGTCCAAGTTCTCTTTAATAATTTGCACTTCAAGCAATGAAGGAAATCCTTTGAACGACCAAACTCCATGAAAACCTTTGGATCACCACCCGATTTAAGGAAATAAACCGTAATTTCAGTGGTAGTTGCAAGCATAAGAAAATGATCTTTAAGAAGTTCTATATCCAAGCTCAAATCCATTAGAAAGAAGTCATATTGGCATCTTTGCAACACAAGTAATGATGAAGCTACACACCACATATGACAACACAGGCAATTGAATATCCTGTGAAGAAATCCATGAGGAATGTATGATCAAAGCCTTAAGGTCTATCTGATAACCACACACACATAGAGGCAAATCTGGATTGATGAATAAGCAAATCTAACCTTTAATGAAGATGAGAATCTCAAGGCAATAAAGAAACCCTAATTTCTCACGATCCTTGATCCCATGCCAAATTCTTATTGACTAATGATGCACGGTGTGTTAAATGCCCTAATGAAAAGGTATGCAGATGAAATGAGAAGTGCAAAAATGCATAAATTAGATAAAAGTGAAAGAGTAGGACAAATTTGGGGTATGACAGAAGGTTCGATAATGGTTCAGATAGAAGACTTGCATTTGGGACACTGAGATACGAAAGAAGTGGCAAGTATACAATTCTTATCCAAAAGTTAAAACCATAGGACATTGGTTCGAGGAAATGTGAGTGTCCTTTTAAGTTGTGAGGATATCTTTTGAAAAATAATAAATGGAGATTTGATGTGATTTGTGGTATACATAATCATGACATGTGTCTCAAGTTAGTCGGTCATCCCATTACATGTCACCTTATGGTTGAACTTGAAGAGAAGGAAATTCTTTTTGACATGACATCGAACATGGTGCAGCTGAAAAACATACTTGCAACTTTGAAATATAAAGATCTCAAAATATCTCAAATATCAAGAAAGTATACAATATTTGTGCAAGAAACAACAAGGCGATAAGAGGAGATATAACTAAAATACAACAATTGTTAAAGCTTCTGGGTGATAATGATTATGTACCTAGGTACCGAGTCTGCGAGAATGGAGAAAATGTTTGAGATATATTTTAGACTCATCTTGATTCCATAATATTGTTCAACACATTTCCCATTGTACTCATTATTGATTCAACATATAAGAGAAACAAGCACAAGCTTCCACTATTGGAAATTGTTGATGTTACTTCTACGAAAAATACTTTTTCCGTCCGTTGCATTTTTGGAAAGCAAAAAAGAGGACAACGTTACTTGGAAAAGAATCATACACAATACTATATTGGGGAAAAAAATATTTCGATGCAATTCATGAATATCTTATTCCTTATGTTAGTGGTCTAGAACCGGAGAAAAAATGGATGTGATTTCCTGAAATGGATCATCTTATAGCAAGTTCATATAATAAGGTGTGTATTGATCTGACAAGACACAGTTTCTTAGAAATATTTTTTCTACTTTGGAATGCCCCATCTCAAAATCCAACCGATCGAGCTATGTGTATTGGATGGCTTTCTAAATCATTTCCTTTTGTTCAAGTTTATTTGAAATTGGGATGTTCTAAACCACTGACATCACCTGAGTGGACGACTCCTTCAATAAAGAAAGTTGAAACTTGATCGAATCATTTTTTAGATAGGATGCAAGAACTCCCCAAGTTGAGTGGGATTGAAACAAAATTAAATAAACAAAAGTCAAAGGCGGAGCCACTCATACATATCGATTTAGGTGGTGACACATGTCTTGATTCATTTTAGTTTTTTTTTATCTAACAATGTATTTAGGTGATGACACATGTTTTGTATGTAATGTTGAATTGATATTAATGATGTAAAGTTGATACATTTTGATACATTTTAATGTATATTTCAGTTTCCTGTATTTCTTGACATTATTTCCCTTCATAACAGGTTATGTTTCTATAATAGGTGATGTGTCATCAGTTAAGGGCGAATCTAGAAATACATTTCTAGACACACCTCAATTTAATTAAAAAAATGGTAACATGGGTTTATTCGAAAATACGTTTCCAGATTCACCCCATATTATTAAAAAAAATGATAGCAAGAGTTTATTCAGATATACATTTTTAGACTCGCCCTAATTTTAATAAAACAAAACAATTTATATCCGAAAGTACATCTCTGAAATATCCTCTGAAATAGGATTTGGTTTCTAAGATCCATATTAATCTAAAACTTGTATAAATGTGTGTCACTATACTTGTTAGCACAACACACACAAAACACCAAAATGTCTCGATATGCATATCTCGCTTTTGTCTGCTTCAATGGCGAGAAGCGCCCTCTTCAATTTAGGATCACTGAGATTAATCGCCTTATTGATCTAAAATCAATACTATAGAATTTGTATCCAGACAATCGAAGAGTTGTAAAACTCTATTATCGTTCACCCCCGATTGACAATAAATGGAAGATACAGTTTAACAAGTTTCAGCTGAAGACGAATAAAGATTTAATTATTATGTGAAGTACATTTCACCGTTATGAAAGAAAATGTCCAATTAAGGTGGATGCGAAGATTGCGAGTTCGACCGAAGATATTCTAAAGTTGTTATAACGTCCTATTTATTGATTATCTATGTAATATTTCATTTCTAATGTATATCATAACAATGATTGTTGTTAATTTATGTTTCATTTTTTCATCTCTTTCCGTATTTATTTCTGGTTTATAAGTTCTAACCGTTTTCAAAAATAGTTTTTTAGATTTTTTTCAAAGGCTTAGGTGCATTTGGATATGTTTGAAAATGTATTTTTGAATTCAAAAGATATTTTGAAATTTTGATATAAGTGTGTGAGTAACCCTTACCGTGGGAAAAATAACCTCTCTGAATTTTCAAACCTGATTGATCTTCAAATCTCTTTATTGGTAAAATCACTTTTCAATAACAATATATATTTAGACATCCATTAGAGTTTATCAATTGTATGTGATACTAATTTATAAGAGATTTGATGTGTTAAATCCCAAGAGGAGGAAATGAAAATTAAGACAAAGCTTTTGAATATTGCAAATAGGTTATTTATTTTTCTAATGCTATATTAATGAAAATAAACGTGAGTTAATAGGAAGTAGGAGTGTTTAAAACCAAATCGATCTAATAGAAATTTGTTAATTAATCAAACTAAATTGAAATCATAAAAAATCTTATTTGGTTCGGATTTATTTGGGTCATTTTTTAACAAAAATCGCACGATTCAGTTTGCGGTTTGTATTTTACAAATTGAACCAATCTGAACCAATCTGAACCAAACTGCATTATGTTACACCCAAATTTTACGTAACCAACATTCAACCCAAACTTAAATTTATTATGCCTTAACCTTACGATTACGAATGATTTTCTCTTCCTCACACTTAGGGTTTTAGTTTAATTCTTCTCAAATATTTCATAGCGGTATCACACTTCTTCTCGTCTTCTTTTCCATGCACATCTCATCTCTTCTTCTCAAGTATCTCATCTCTTATGTTCTTTCTTTTTCATCTTCTTATTTTTATTCTACTTTTTTCTCTTCCATTTATGTTTTAATGCACCTCTTCTATATTTCTCCTCTCTTTTGTTCTTTGTTTTTCATCTTCTCTAATATTTTTCATCTTCGCTATTTTTTCTTCATTTATAATATTTTTGATATTATTTTATATTTTTTATTTCATTTTTCTCTAATCTTATTTTTGTATATTAAATAGAAAATTGTAGTTCAAATATGATGAATTTTGTTATTATTTGATAACACATAAATGACTAAATACAAAATAATGTTATCATCTATATCCGTATGACTCAATAATTTTTTTTATAAAAAAATAAACCAACTCAAACCACATTTGTTTGATTTGATTCGGTTTTATTTCTAAAAATCAACCGAACCACACATTTTTTTCTCTTACGATTCGGATAACTTTTTACGTCAAAACCACGCCACAAACACCCCTAATACCATGAACACCCCCCTAATGGAAAGTAGCTAGCATAGCACAACCCAAGGCTACTTTTCATTCTATCCATCATTTGGAGGAATTGATCAATATAACAATAGCTTTATTATTCTCAATCAAATTATAAAGAAACTCAATACATCTCCAAAGAGTTGGGCATGAATGAAAATAAGACAAAAACACATTGCCAAAACACTGGTGACAAGACATCAGAAAAAAAAAATCAGGAACTCTGCAGCAATTTAGGTATATGGTCACTAGTGATGGAGAAAATCCATGAATTTTAATGGTTCCAAACACACCCGATGGAGAAAATCCATGAATTTTAATGGTTCCAAACACACCCTTCATGGTATAAAGCTGTGAAAGCCTTGATATACTGATAGTAGGGTACTGATTTTGGCTTTCTACTTCTGCCAGCATAACTGTCCATCTCCTCCGTATAACACATCACTCGACAAACAAACTATAGATTCAGGAACACACAAAAGAAGAATAAAAAGCACCAGACTGATTCTTTGTCTATGTTGCTATTCTTTGTTCAATCTCTTCTTCACTTTTTGAGCTGCTGCCTTTATTGAGAACCAATGTTAGCTGGAGAAGTGATAAAAGCACCCATCAAACTAAGATTGGAGCACAAAGTGAGAACACCCAGGTTTACCTCAAATCACTAGCATCATTCTAGTCCCTTGGGTTGTCCAAATTATTCTGCATCATAGAATGGGCATTTGTTCTCAGACTGAGTCAACAAACTCGCCATGTTACAGCATACATGGCCCTATCACTCACCCTCCTTCCTTCCAACATAACTGTAATCCTTTTCTTCCCCCCTAATTCATCAATTTTATCAGTGTATCTAAATTGGAAACAATAGTAGCAAATCTACAATAATCATCCAATGAAAACAGTGCTTTTAGAGAATTTAAAATGCTCAGAAAAGAAACTCATAAAGGAGGTTTGTTAACCTTCCCTACCTGCTTAAACATATTTTCAGAAATCTAGTTGCACATAGCAAAGTCAGAAACCTATCCAATTAACAGAACAAACAAACATTACAAACTATCATCGCTGTCATTGGTCACACAACATTAAAGGAAAATTTCCATCGAACTTTTTTTTTCTGATGATAACTATAACTAATATGATAGGAAAAGTTATTAACTATAAATAAAAATTCCTAAGCCTTCACTATGCAAGTGATGTAAATGGAAAGTCAGTCTAAATACGAGAGAAGGGTGAAACAGTCTAAATAGGGGGAAGTCAGAAAACAACATTCTTGAATGTGGAATCTTTTTAAAAAGGCATGCATAAAAGGAAGGAACAACAGAATTATAAATAAAATGAGTAGGTAAATTGCGTTATGGGAGGGTAAGATTATAAATGAAGGAACAACAAAATTGTATATATAGGTAATAAAATACCACTTCATAGTTTAATGTTGGTTGAACAACTCTTGCCTCTCTAATTCATTCTTTTGAGTAGTGTCAATCTGTACAAGCTATTTTTGTGTAAAAGCCCATATGTGTTAACTGCATCAAGGAACTGTGCTCATTTTGCCTAAAGCTGTTTCTATGCACTCTCTGTAAGTGCTTCTTTATTGCAAACAAAATAACTTTCAATTGGACAAAGAAAGTCTTTCAATCACAAGATAAGAACACCTTATTTTCTGGGATCAAACATCCATGGTAGATTCTTAATGCCCTTGACCGTCCGGTGCCTCCTAATAAATGACTATGGCTTGGCAAAGCTCAATAGTCTTCAAAATCTGGGAAGAGAATAGATAACTCAAAACAAGGTTTGTGCAATCATTTCCAGGTACATCATGATTAGACTAGCTATCTATCATTCCAATAGGATTTAGTACTTGACGATAAAAACGATTTTCCAAAGTTGTCAACTTCACGTAGAACAAGAGCCAAATTTGCTCATCAGTTCTATATTTTCAGCAATGGTTGACCCAGGAGTTCCAATAAAACCAAGAGACGCACAACTGCATACAGCCTGCTCAACATAAAGAAGTAAATCAGGCAATCTCTGATTGGAACAATACTTATTACCAATTCTAGACTCTGAATTTGGAATAAACCTCTCTCCGTAACCCGCTGCAGTTAGTTTCTTGGCTGCTTGTATAACCACCTGATCACCTTCTCTTAAGAAATGCACCTTATAGTTATGTGCATCACTGGTTAAATCCCCTAAATAGGTACCGGTCCAATTATCTCTAGGAAGATCAGTCATTACAAAAATATGAATAGGCAGAGGGCCTTTCTGCCTCAAAGACTCTAATTTTTGTCTTAACCCATCAAATGTAGCCTTATGATGATTCTTAAACTGCCCATCCAGCAATCTAAGCTGTGCGCAAAAAAATTGAGCTTTTATGGTTGCTTTAGCAAACTTCTTTCCGGCATTCATAACTTCTGGGACAAATGGAAGAAACTTAATCTTCTCCATCAAAGATAAAAACCTCTGGTCCTGATGTGATTCGTGAATATCAATATATGACTCAGAACCTTTGTATGTAGCAGAGAAAAGGCTTCCAAATGCTAGCATTGAAGCTGATTCAGCTTCAGAACCAGGTCCAAGCATCCTAAATACATCCCTCCGTCTCCTAACGTATGATATTTTCTTTTTCTGCTTTAGCTGTTCATCAGGTTGGAATGAATCTAACACACCATTCTCACGACCATCTATATGGTAAGTCCATACTGTAGTTCTGCAATCTTCATTGACAGCATAAATACACTTTTCAATATTCCCATGAAACCCTGCTAGTAGGGATCCACATTGCTCAAGGCTTTTAGAAGCGGAGGACCGTGACTTTGAATCATTAGAACAAGCCAAATCTAAGCTGATGCCACACCATATCGATACAAAATCCCTAAGATCAATAACTCGAACAAGACTAGAAGAAACTAAAGATGAGATATCTATAACCTCAGCAATGGAGATATACCTGCAGGAAAAACAACAGATGAAAACTTACAATTCGTATCGATGACCAAGTGCAAGGAAGTTTCAAATAGAAATGCTTCATGACACAAAAACACAGAAGAGAGATGTCATGCATACCCTTAAATCACAGTTTGTATGTTACCGACATTGCTTCTCTTATAGAAAAGGTAACTAAATCAATTGCATATAAAAGGAAAAAGTAACTTTGCTTCATTTTATTTTCGATGAGTTATAAGTTATAACAAATCAATTATAAAGACACAAGATAACAAAACAAAGTTACTGTTATACGAACTATTTTCCAAAAACAAACAAACAAAATCAAATTTCTTGCAGCCTATTTCACGACAATTCAACAAACAAACTAACCTTCCACCCCGAATGAGCTCAAGGACATGATCCCAAACAGAAATCCGAATATCCTTGGGTTCAACAACCCGAAACTTAGGACAACTACCTAGCGCAACAGCATGATGATCCAAAACAGGAGGAACAACCAAAGTTCGATTAAGTATCCCTGCAATCAAAACAGCATGTTTAAATTCCAAAAGCTGGTTGCTGAATCCACTGTGAGGTGCATACCACATGAATTTCTCGGTTAATGCCAAGGCTTGGGAGGAGCATTGAAGTGTTGTTGAAGTTTTGGATAATTCATTGAAATGAGAATCGCGTTTCATGTAATAGTAATAAAGAATGAAAAGGGAAAAGAACGCAATAAGGAGGGAAATGGGAATGAGTGGGAATCGAGAATGAGGTTTTCTTTTGGGGAACATTGTATTGGTTAGGGTTTGGAAATGTTGATTCGATTTGAGAAAATCTCAATCTGTGAAAAGCCGTGAATTTTACGGATCTGTATTAACTAACACCTCCGGCCGCCGTGGATGTGGTTTGGTAACGACGGTTGCGATGCCGGAGAAGAAGATGGGAAGAAGGAGAGAGATCGATTATGTGAAGGTTTAGCTCGGGGGTTCGACGGGGATTTGATATATTTTGTTCAAGTTTATGGATAAATTAGACTAATGATTTTATCTAATAAAAAATGGGTTAAATATAGGTACCCATAGAGACTAATGATTTTAATGTAATATATTCATTATCATGTGAAAGTGATGAATTAGGTTGACAAAATTACAAGAAAGAGCGTGTTTGAATTGGATTTTCAAAAAAAAAATCTCTTTAAAAATACTATTTACTCAAATGATGAAAGCTATACAAAGTTTTAGAGAGAGGTGACACGTTCGATTTATACAAGTTCACCTTAGAAAAGACTATTTTTGTCCACTCGCCAAGGTGATTTCGGCTTAGAAAATGACTTAATCCAACAATCTAAAAAGATTACAACAAATCCTTTAAGTGGTAGAGACCAACTTAGTCCTCTCAAGTATACAGACTATAACGCAGTCACTTGAGAGATAATTCAGTAATCTAGAAAGATTACAATCGTCTAAGTGGAAAAAATCAACTTAGCCCTCTCTAGTATTCCGACTTTATCACTAATTCACTCGAGGAATAATCAATTCAAAAATGAATTACAACAGGAGATTACAAGAGTGCTTCTTCACAAGCATATTTCTTCTAAGTTTAATACAGATGAATTAACACAAAAGTGTTAAGCAAGTTATGAGCAATAACTCTTTGCTTTTACAAAATTCTACAAAAGATTATTTCAAATCAGAGTTTGTGCAGCGTTTTTGTAGAGTCCTTTTATTTTTCATTATTCTTCCATCATCTCTCCTCATCTTGTAATGAAAACATTGATCTCCTTATATAGCCTTCAAAAAGAGACGTTGGAAGGTTAAAAGAGTCTTTTCAATGACAACAATTTATCTCCAACGGATAGTGCCAAAGTGGTAGATAAAATAGTACATGAGTGTTGGCTGAAGATTTTGATAATATTATTAGAAGCCAAGCGAATTGAACGTTTCAATCGAAATGAAACAATTGGTCATGTTTCGAAGTAGCAGAAGCAGTGTTTCGAATAAGCATATCAAAGCTTGAAGCTTCGAGTGGCAATTATGGGAACATATCTAAAGAAGTCTCGAAATAACAGCAAGGCTGTGTATGAGAAGTGCGTCGAAACGGAGAAGTACCAGAGCATTTGAAATTCAAATGAAAGCAGGACATTCGAAGTTTGAAATTTATGTGCTGGAGCATTTGGAGACACGTGGAAAGAAGAGAGAGGCATTGTTCTGCATGTTCTGAACGTGGCATAATCCTATAGCAAGACCGTTATGGTCGAATTAGTATAAATAGAAGTCTTAGTATTAGGATTTCGTGTGTCATATCTATTGTACTAAATACTCAGTAACATTCAAATTACCACATGGCAAGGGAAACGAATGCAAGAGCAATGTACGTATGATAGCACCACACATTTATGATTTAATGAAAACCTTTTATCATTTCCAGCACTTTCCTTTATCTTTCTGCCAAGTAACATTTACAAGTTTTCTCATTCAAAGTCTTTTTATTTCGAAATCTCTTCATTAAAGCTTTACATTTCAAGCACTTTACATTTCAGAAAACTGTCATACTTTTCATGAAACTATCTTCAAGTTTTGTCTTTCGAAAGTCTATTTTTACTTAAAGTCATTTACAGATTTCTTGCATTAAACGCTTTCTTCATATTTCGAATCTTTTACGTTCTAGAGCATCTTTTACATTAACTGTTTTTATAATTCGAAGCCATTTACTTGCCTTTTATGCAATTTTACATGTCTTTACAATTAACATTTATTCATGCAAGTTAGTTTCGCGCACATGCATTTTGATTATACCTTTAGATCTTTAAGTGAGAAATCGAAACAAGCCAAACAACTACACAACACTCAAACACCAATCATGAATATCTGTTCGATCATGAGAGTAACCCTAATGACCAAGGAATCCTAGGATCAATCTAGTCGATCCTGTGAGTTACCAAAGAAATTGAATAACAGTCAGTAAGTTTATTCGATAGTTTGGAAGACTAGCGGTTGTTTACCAGAAATCACTGGAAACAAATTGGCACACCTGGTGGGACGGATAATTGGACATTAGAAATAAAGATTGTTGAGACATAACCATTATAAAAACGTTGGAACCTAAGAAGTTTGCTGTTTTATGAACCTAAGGAGTGGTAAAATAACCAACAGCAACCAACCTTTATCCAGAAGAAAACGTTTGACCAAGATGTCTAATTCTGACAATCAACAAGGGAAACAAAATGCCCCACATACAACAGGCACTAGTGTATCTACTTCGATGGGAACATCTAATGTGATCCCTTCGAATGCACAGTCTGTTGCATCTTCAACCAGTAATATAGCCACCAATGGAGTAAGTGGCATATCAACTAATAGTTCGATCTTAGGAAATACTGGAACCATTGGTTACCCTGGGGGATTCGTTCCACCATCAGGGACACAATCCCATTTCGCCACTCCACTAACTAGACCACCCGGTTTCGATGGTAATAGAACCAGAAATTCCTCTTATGGGATGCCAACTTCCTTTATGGCAGGTTTACACAATTCCACATCGAATTCATCACCACAATTAGGGTCTGGGTCTGGGGCAAATCAGTTTATGACAAACAACCAAGGGTCAGTGGGTTATAGTACAATGCCTATTTTAACCACAGAAAACCAGTTGGCTTTTAGGCAATTAATGGATGACAGTAACCATAATATGATAGGGGTGTTAGCACAAACTATGCAGGAAATATTTGCCCCAATAGTACAAAATGTGACTGTGACAAACAGGGAAAACGCTGACAACATGAGTCGAATAGCATATTTCTTTGCTCCCCCAGAAAGGCGTAGGCAGAATCAGGCGGGATTTCGAGCAAACATGCCTGTTATGGAACAAGTTGCTAACGACCCAATTTATAGACCACCTAGAGAAGAAGTTAACTTAGGGGCCAGGGCACCAAGATTAGAAGCCCCAATAATCCCAGGCCCACAAAGAGAAATTATGGAACCAGGGGCAAGGGTCGAAAGGCTAGAAGCCCCAGAGTTTCGAGAAGAACAACCTAGGGGTATTGTCATGGTTGGTCGAAATCAGGATGCTGATGCTGTCGTTCATAGAATTCGAAACGATAACATCTTGGCAGAAAATAATCTAACCACCATGATAGAGAGAGTCATGGCCCAGAATGGCCTCAACACAGGAATGAGAAGGCCAAATTATGCTTCTCCTATATTAGATTGCATAATGCATACTGATTTACCAAGGGGATATAAAGTCCCTAAATTTACAAAGTTCGCTGGGGATACCAATGAGTCAACAGTCGAACACATAGCGAGATATCTAACCGAAGCGGGAGATATAGCCAATAATGAAGATCTCAGGATCAAATACTTCCCAAGTTCCTTGACTAAAAACGCTTTCACATGGTTTACCACTTTGCCTCCTGGGTCCATTTACACTTGGGCTCTCTTGGAGAGATTATTCCATGAACAATTTTACATGGGACAGTCGAAAATAAGCTTGAAGGAATTAGCCAGTGTCAAGAGAAAGTTCACCGAACCCATAGATGATTATCTGAATAGATTTAGGCTTTTGAAATCCAGATGTTACACAGTGGTGCCTGAACATGAGTTAGTCGAAATGGCTGCTGGTGGCTTGGATTAATCTATTCGAAAGAAACTAGACACTCAATATTTGAGGGATATGGCTCAGTTAGCCGATAGGGTTCGACAGGTCGAAAGGCTAAAGGCCGAAAAAGCCAGAGTTTTTAAGAATAGCAAGAAAGAAAGGATCTCTTATGTTGGAACTGAGGAAGCAGAAGAATATCCTGAATTCGAATTCGAAGAGGTCGAAATCGACCTCGCTGAATTAAAACAGGCTCCACCTTACTTATGCAAATTATTGGTTCCCGCAAAAGGGAAAGAGATTGTTGAAAATGAGAAAAGTGACAAATTCCCAAAGAAGGTTTATACCTTCGATGTCACTAAATGTGACGAGATTTTTGACTTACTTGTCAAAGATGGCCAACTAATTGTGCCATCAAATGTCAAAATACCTCCTTTGGATCAGAGAAAGAAGAGAGGATTTTGCAAATATCATAGTTTCCTAGGCCACAAAACCTCACAATGTTTTCTTTTCAGGGACCTAATTCAAAACGCAATCAAAGATGGCAGACTAAAGTTTGCTGATAAGGCAAAGATGAAAGTGGACGAAGATCCCTTGGACGTCGCAGACACCAACTACTCCGAGCCTGCATGCATTGGAGAGATTAACATGGTGGAAGCTGACCAAAGTGATGCCCTAACAGGGGAGAAAGGTACTGAAACTGAAAACTGGGTGATGGTCGAAGTCGATAAGGAGGTCACTGAAGACATCCAGAAGATACCAGAGACTTCGATTGAAGCAGCACCTGTAGCTGTTGCAAGAGAAACCCATGCTACTGAAGGCCAGGGAAATCAAAACCAAGAACTGACACAGGTCATTGAAGGCTTGAGGCTGGAATTGGAGAAAGTCCAAATCACGAAGCCAACTTCCCCTCAGAAGGAAATATGGGACACTCTAGGGGAACCCAGTGGAAAATTTGACTATTTGGTCAAATATTCTGCCCCAGAGAGTTCGAAGGTTCAGATTGAGGATATAAAGCCCACAGGATGGGGCGATGATGAAGCTAAGGGGGAATATGTTGAGATAAATATGGTGGATATGGAGAGGCCTCGTTCTGAGATGGAGGAAGTAGAAAAATACTTAGAAAAAGAGAAGTATAGAATGGAGGATAATAGCACTGGAGATGCTAGTCTCAAGGATTACCTCATGACATGCCACA